TAAATCAATGTAAATGTGTTATTTTCACAAGTGTAAATTTAGGCCATTTTCCAATAGAAAGCACCCAAACGGCTTCTTCTGTTGTTACAATGTCTAACGATAAAAGAACCCTTTTTGGGGTCTATATAGAACCAATTTCTTCACTAAAGAACCCTTAGAGTGTAGCTCTTGTCCAGCGTAGATTGCAACACTATTCTAAACATGAAAATAGGACTAAAACACTGAAAGCAGGTTGGAGCTACTAAATGTTTCCTTCAGCAAAAACTGCGATTTCATTGGCTGAAGTCAGATCGATCCTCATTTGAACACAGTAGCCGCTTAATGAAACAAGAGAAATGGTCAAAAATGACATGGAATAAAACCTCTTTACATCGACTTACATTAAGACGGACGATTGTTTTTGCACAGTAACCAAAACAAAAGCCTGTTTAATTTTAATAGATAAAGGGAGGTTTGTGTAAAAATAAACGTTTTTGGAGCATAAAAGCACAGAAACTTTATAAATGGACCTTAGAGGAAAAATACAATATGAGGAAAAAAAATCATGATGGTTAAAAAAAAGATGACTAAATGCAAATATTTTGTGATTGTGAGTTACATTTAATGGTGCCGCAAACCCAAAAAACTCACAATCAAATCTCCCAAATCAGAGACTAAAATGTTCACCAAAATAAATGAATGAATAATATTTTATTTCATTTTACTGACTAAAAATATCAGATTTCCATTCCGTCAGCACAATGGTCAAAACGGCCAGCTATGGGACGAATTCCACATTTAAAAGATGTAAATTGAAATTTTGTAACTGTCAGAAATTTAAGTGCTGAAACTTTTATTCACTTTCCACTCAAACAATCCCTGAAGGGTCTTTACAAAACTCACTGAATGCCGGCCTCACACCAAACCGCTTCACACCAAACCGCTTCACACCAAACCGCCTCACACCAAACGGCTTCACACCAAACCGCTTCACACCAAACGGCTTCACACCAAACCGCTTCACACCAAACCGCCTCACACCAAACGGCTTCACACCAAACCGCTTCACACCAAACCGCCTCACACCAAACGGCTTCACACCAAACGGCTTCACACCAAACCGCTTCACACCAAACCGCCTCACACCAAACGGCTTCACACCAAACCGCTTCACACCAAACCACCTCACACCAAACCGCTTCACACCAAACCGCTTCACACCAAACGGCTTTTCAAGTGATTTCACTGTCGCAGACAAATTTGCAGTGTCGGACTAAAATCACGAGAGTCTTGCGAGAGTTGCGTCACACTCGCGTTGTCTCGATCGTTTTGTGTGAGGTGGTCAGAGCGGCCGTCTTAAACCAGTCTTAAGTCTCGTCTTGACGTTACAACAAAATCGACCGTGTTTAATATTATCGTAAGTTTTGAGTCTTGGCTCATGCAAATAGTGACGTGCCGGGGCGAGAGAGAGAGAGAGAGAGAGAGAGAGAGAGAGAGAGAGAGAGAGAGAGAGAGAGAGAGAGAGAGAGAGAAAGGGAGAGAGAGAAAAAGGGAGAGAGAGAGAGAGAGTGAGAGTGAGAGAGAGAGAGAGAAAAAGGGAGGGAGAGAGAGAGAGAGAGAGAGAGAGAAAGGGAGGGAGGGAGAGAGAGAGAGCGAGAGAGAGAGAGAGAGCACGTGAGAGAGCGAGAGAGAGAGAGAGAGACAGAGAGAGAGAGAGTGAGAGTGAGAATGCGTGAGAGCCTGAAATCTCTGTAAAAATGGCAAATCTGCTCCCCTTTAAAACAATCATATCATCTTAAAAATGTAAACTGGCTGTTTTAATATTCCAGGTTGGCTGAGTCTAACAGTGATGTAAGGAAATATGCAGACGACTTTATTTATGACATTACTGAAGAATCATCAATGTTTTTTTTTGTTTTGTTTTTTTTTTTGCTTTCAGTGGTTTTATTTTGTTTTATGGTTTAGTTCATGACACCCAATCAACAGCGCTGAATCACTGCATGTTTTGTTGATGTTTAAATCATTGTTAAATTAAAAGTAACTACACACTTTACAGCTTAATTAATAAAAATCTGGGTGATGATCTGCCAGAGTAAACAGCTCTACAGCGAACTGAGCTGAGCCTCAGATCTTCACATGTCCAGACAAAGTATTTTCCCATCTGTATCACTATACAGCGGAAGGAAAGGGTTTATCTGCTTGTAAATTTCCACCGGGTGCTCAAAAAGCGACCCTGCATGATCCCCAGTCTTTGCAAAATCATAGTCTGAGAAACTGTGACGCTGTCTTTAGATGTGAGAGGGTGTCAGACTTCAGTCTTTCAAAAGTCTTTACAAACTCTTCTCAGAGTCTTGTAGTGTATGGTCAGCATAAGTGCAAAGGAAACGTTAGGGGCAAGATCTTTTAGTGACCACTGGCTAGCAGGTAGCTTTTTTAGCACTGCGGCTAAATACTGAGATTTCACACAAAGCGATGTGGACTGTCAAAATGATGTAAAAAAAAAAAAGACAGTCCTATTAAAAATCTCCCAAAGACTGCATTCCTACCATCAAATACCAGTGACTCTTCCCACTATTAGCACCCATGTGGGTTTTGGTCCAAACGGTTCGCTGGAAAAGAAAATAAATAAATAATAATTGCAAATTACGCTGCATTCTCTGCCACCGTGTTATGGTTGCCAAGATCTTTCACCGGCTTCCAAATTCTCGCATGATTGGTGAAGACGTTATTTCCAAACAATTTGGCGGCGATGAGAGAAAAATGATTCAAAATGATCAGTTGTTGACCTTTCGCTGTAATGGAAAAAGAAAGGCTTTACATTAACAATGGCTGTTTCGCCCCCGGAGGATCAACCTAAAGACGGCGAACAATCGGAGACGGGCGCACGCAGAGTGACATCATCGCGGGTCACCGAGTGTTCGGAGGATCTGATTGAGTGGAAGAAGTTGAGTCATTCCGGCTCCACAGTGGCTGTTTGACGGGGCGGTTTCCCCGTGTGACTGCGAGGCAGAACCGCCGGCCACTTCCACCACAGGCAACAAGAGGAGCACTATGGTCCAAGTAAAAGCAAAGGAAACGGTTGTTTGTCGTGGTCGGTCACACATTAACTCAGAGTTAGGAGATCAGAGGGTTAGCCTTCTGTTCAGTCAGGGATATTAAGAGATTAGCCTTGGGGGGCTTCATGGCTGAGGAGTGAGATAGTGTCTCAGGAATGGTGGTAACCACACAGTGAATGGGAAGGAGACGGAAAAAGGGAGGAAAAGCTGAGCGGCAGAAATAACAGACTTCCTACTATTGCTGCAACGTCTGAACCTCGTAACTTGTTTTTGAGTTTTTGTTATCATGCTTACTGTACTTGAAACGTCAGCTGCTCTTCATGATGAACGGACCACTTGACCTGCCCTAAAAAGTGGAAAAATCTCCACTGATGTTTCAAAATTTCCACAGAATTCAACTGATGAGATGCTAACAGAGAGATTCAGAGGGGTTTGGTGTGAAATGGTTCAGATGTCTTTACAGTGGTGGTGATAGGAACCAGGGGTCGCCATGACTACAACACAAATATAGACATTTTATTTACTATCCAGAACCACCAGTGAACCTACACGAGTCTTCTGAGTTTATATGGAATGTTGATGATGGTAAATAGTGATAAAACAGGTGTTCTTTGGGGACAACAGGGTGATTCTAAACGATTGGCAAACAGACGGCAGTACTGGAAATAAGTGAGCAGCGTCGCCGCGACACACAGCAAAACACTTTTGGAGCGACGCTGAAACCAAATACATGCTTGACGAAATGAAGGATTTAAATATTCTTCATCTTCTAGATGACGTTTGTTCATATTTTCAGGTAAAGTGGTGCGATGTTTTAAAAAAAAGTCACGGCATAAAGTTACTGCAGTTTCTGTAGTTATCGGATTATTAAATCACTCACTAGTATTAGCTGTTCATGTGGGATTAAACAGTGCTGGCCATAAAACATCAGTGTTTAAGGAAAACATCATTGCTTAGCTAAAAAAAAAATGTTATGAAATAAATCTGGTTTGGTTGTGTGGTACAGTAACGGACTATCTACTGTAAGCAAAGACCAAATACACATTACATGAGAGTCCATGTCAACACTAGAAGGCTGCACCCCAGTGGTGAAAGATGTACTAAAAAAATTTTTTTATATTTTTATACTTGCCCTTTATATGATTTCCCCCTTTTCACTTCAGTAATATGCAAAAGTTTGAACACTCCTGGTCAAATTACATGTTTTGTTGTTATAATAAATAAAAATAACTTTTTTTTATTTAAGTTTAACAAAAAAAAGGTTTATATTACATATATATATATATATATATATATATATATATATATATATATATATATATATATATATATATATAAATTATGCCATGGCTTTTGCATGACCCACATTTTATGTATTATTTTTCCCCCAATATGTTGAATTAAGCAAATAAACCATATTATAAATAAACAATGTGTGTATTATTTACACTTAGAAAATCAACACATGCAATTTGACCAAACTGGCATATAACTGTTCATGCGATGACTATTAATGTGATGTGATTAAAACAGTTCCACTTTGTTGGATAATGTGAATATTTTAATACATCACTGTTCTCAGAACAAAACCTCGTATCTCCAAAATGGTAACTTTACAGGAGAAGGAAAAAACATACTTAACTTCTAATGTAAGTCAATGGAACCAGACTTTTTTCCCAATTAATTTTGGGCCTTCTTTTGGTCCATGCTTCATGAAATTTACACACAATGTAAAGGACAACAGGCATTTTCAGATTGTCAAAAACTGAAAAAGTTTTGTTCCGACAGCAGCGATATAGTGCTGCCCTAAGCCAAAGCATGTACGCATCAATAGACGGGGCACAATATGATAAGCTGACACCCCATAAGACATCCTGACAACTTCAAACATGTGTACATCTAACCTCACTGCTATCACAGGACTGCAATGCTGGCAAAACTACTGTTACAGAAAGTTATTCTCACTTTGGATAGACAGCAGACATCTTGGCAGCGGCATAGCCGGGCTTGCAGGATTCACTGCTGAGGTTGTCATACTTGTACACCAAGTCCACTGGCCTGTAAACACAAGAAAGGACATTTGGTTTTTAAAAGTAGAAAACGAATCAAAAAAGCCCAGAACTGAATGCTTCTTGTTAACTATATGGAACCGAGCGTCTCGCCAGGCAACCCATTCTGAGAATTTGTGAAGTCGGCCACAGTGCAACGTATCGGCGACCAGCAATTGAGGCACCTATGATAAATAATGAATAATAAATACTGGAGTTTGTTGAGGAAAGATTTAAAAAGGTTAATATCACATTCACAAACAGGGCAAATCACATAGTAGATCGTTCACTTATTTGTTTTTATTCAAATGTTTGAAAGCAAAAAGTTTTTATTATTTTTTTAAATGTATGTTTATTGCCCAGATAAACAGCTTTACATATCAATTTCCCCGATAATTCACATGTTCAGACTGATCTCTACTATAAAACTCCCAGACTTTGTCTATGACCACTGCACCGTCAACTGGCACTACATCAACCCCTGAGAATTTTAAGTCAGACGTTTGGCTCAATTAAGAATGAGACTATAAAAAAGCATTATTTGTCCTCAGCTTCATTTTTTTCCTCACAAGCTGTTAAAAGTGTAGATCAGTAGACGAGGCCAACTGAATTCCTCTAACCGACAACACTACACCGACTCATTAATAACATGTAATACACAGAGAGAGCAGTTCAAATAAACAGGCTGGAGGGAGAGGGGCTGGGGGCGACAGAACTGAGACGGGCTGGAGGGAAACGGGTCGGAGGGAAACGGGCTGGAGGAAGACAACTGAGACAGGCTAAAGGGAGAGAGGGCAGAGGGGGAACGGACTGTAGAGGGAATGGGCTAAAGCGAGGCTGGAGCAGGCTGGAGGGAGACAGTACTAAGACGGACTGGACAGAGACGGAACTGAGATGGGCTCAAGAGAGATGGGCTGGATGGGGGTGGAATTGAGATAGGCTACAGGGAGAAAAACTGGAGGGAGACGGATATGATGATAAGCTGCAGGGAGACAGAATTGAGAAGGGCTGGACAGAGACGGAACTGAGACAGGCAGGTGGGAGACAGAATTGAGACATGCGGGAGGGAGACGGGCTGGAGGGAGACAGAACTGAGACAGGCTGGATGGAGATGGAAATGAGATGGGCTAGAGGAAGACGGAATTGAGACGGGCTGCAGGGAAAAAAGCTGGAGGGAGATGGAACTGAGATGGGCTGGAAGGAGACAAAACTGAGACAGGCTGGAGGGAGACGGGCTGGAGGGAGACGGGCTGGAGGGAGACGGAATTGAGACGGACTGGAGGGAGACGGAATTGAGACAGGCTGGAGGGAGACAGAATTGAGACAGGCTGGAGGGAGACAGAATTGAGATGGGCTGAAGGGAGAAAGGCTGGAGGAAGACGGAATTGAGACGGGCTGAAGGGAGACAGGCTGGAGGGAGATGGGCTTGAGGGTTTGACAGAACTGAGACATGCTGGAGGGAGACGGGCTTGAGGGTTTGACAGAACTGAGACATGCCAGAGGGAGACTGAACTGAGACATGCTGGAGGGAGACGGGCTTGAGGGTTTGACAGAACTGAGACATGCTGGAGGGAGACGGGCTTGAGGGTTTGACAGAACTGAGACATGCTGAAAGGAGACAGAACTGAGACATGCTGGAGGGAGACAGAACTGAGACATACTGGAGGGAGACAGAACTGAGACATGCTGGAGGGAGACAGAACTGAGACATGCTGGAGGGAGACAGAACTGAGACATGCTGGAGGGAGACAGAACTGAGACATGCTGGAGGGAGACAGAACCGTCTGGCTGGAGTGGGATGGAAATAAGATGTGCAGGAAAGAGATGGGGGCAGTGGAGGAGTGTGTATGGGGTATCTGTGTGTATACGTGTGTGTGTGTGTGTGTGTGTGTGTAGTAGTGGTCAGGGGCAGCGGGACTGAAGTAGGTGAGGATGGACATGCACTAGCTGGACCACCCTGGGAAAATATAAGTCTGTATAAGTCTATAAGGAACATGAGCTCTGCTGACACTGGAACAGTTTAAATATAAAGCCATGCAAAAAAACCTTGCTCCATTAGCAAACACTGAAAAGTTCTTCAGCGCAGCGTTTCCAAAACACAGCGTTTACACACCAGTTTGACATCACGAGCCACACTAACCATTTTAGTCATTTTATTTACTACAATAACTATTGATTCAATTTATTAATTAAAGGCATTTTAGATGGTTCAATCAAATAACAATTCATACCACACTGTAACTGTTTATTTTTGTCATTATCTGCCTAGAAATAACAAAAAAGTCTAGATATAAACTCTATTTTAACTTAATTCTTGATGTTATACAGCTCACTGAGAAAAGGAGATGGACACATCAAACAAAGAAGCCGAACGATGGACTGACCACCCAGAGTCCAGACCTCAACACCACTGAATGTGTTTGATTACTTCAGAAAATGATCAACCAGCTTCTAAGACTGAACTTTGGAGGTGTGTCTGCAGATTCTTTGAGGAGCTGAAAGTGAGGCTCCTGAAAAGTAGTCCTCAAAAGCTGTAATAAAGCTGTAATAAACACTCAAACATCTGATATTAGATTTGGTTGCTGAATCTTCTGTGTGATTTTCAGTTAAATATGACACTGAAAAATGAATAACTCGTGCTTAATGGCCGTATGACTGGAAATCAAATATATGAAGGGTGGTCTTCGCCCAGAACTGTAAATATCAGTGTTTAATTGACATCGAGCTGCTCAATGAGCGGTTTTATAACTATTGGTTTACATTTTCACAATGAAAATCCACTGAAAGCTGCAAATCCCAGCGATCACTCAGTGCCTTTTCGGCGCTCACTGAAACCGCAGTAACGCAGTGAAGCAGTTATTTAGGTAAAGCCCTGATTTTGATGAAGTGCCGTGGCCCACAGGACAGTGTTGTATTTTCTTTCGCTGACAGGTTGGAGTCTTTAACCGTGAGAGTGGACGCAGACTGAGGCCAGGAGGGTGATAAAGCGCACCTCACGGACAGTTACGCTCCCGCCGCAGAGCGAAATCTAAACCTGTCCGAGGCTTTGCTTATTGTACAAGTGTGCGGTGTGGATGGACGCGTCTTGTGCGATAAGGCTGCGTGTGTCCGAACGCTCGGACAGCTTAAAGACTGAGTGTAAACACACACCTACCACACACAGTCTCCTAATATTTAACACCTTAACACCTCACTCTCAGACATCTTCGCTAATTGCCCACAGACACACTGAGATCATCGAGCTGGGCGAAAAGTCGTTAAAATGGGAGCCAAACATCATTTTTCATTAAGCCTAAGTCAACTTTAGGCTAATTTGAGGGTATTTACATATATATTGAGTGAACCATATAAGAACCATAGACTTTTACACATTAGCGCCCCGCTTCTGGAGGCCATAAGTAATTGGACAGATTGACAGTCTTTCTTTTTTAACTCTACACTTTAACCTGATAAACTGTGACCGCAGTTTATGAGTGACTTAACCATTTTACCACTGGAAAACTTAAATTGTTTGGGTTATTTCATAAAATGTTTAAAGAAATGATATTTGTTTGGGAGAAAAGCACTTTCAGCACAGCATCAGACTGACGCTGGACGCTTTGTGTGGAGAAATCCTGGAGAAGAACTCCAGCCAGACAGCACTAAAGCCTCTCAAAAACATTTTGATGAAATATTTTACTATAAATGAAAATGGAAGTCTTGGAATATTCTGTATAAAATAAATTCCACATTGACATTTAGTTTCATAATGGCTTTCATACACCTCTAAGTACGGCACTAATGTCCAAATACTTTTTGAGGCCAGTGTATAGCACAGATATTCCGGCTCTGCCTAAACAACAGCCAGTTACAGAGGCTACTGTGTTGTTTCTGTGTTTTTGTTGTGTATCATTATCTTCAGCACTTTAGATCATGTTTGTATTACGCATGTACTGTATATATAGTGTCTGTAATTACATGTCTGTTACGTGTCCTGGAGCTCTCCAATGGCTGAGCTATTGTTTGTCACTAAATAGGAAAGTTTACCTGATCTAAATACGTTTTGCTGAATTTCTAAGTAAAAATAAGAAAAATAAGAACACACACTAAATATGGCATTTTCTGTACATTTTAGTATTAGGTTTATATTTATATATATATAAAATGTTCAGAAAATGCCTTTATATATATATATATATATATATATATATATATATATATATATATATATATATATATATATATACACACACACACACAGATCAGGCATAACATTCTGACCACCTCCTTGTTTCTACGCTCATTGTCCATTTTATCAGCTCCACTTACTATATAGGTGCACTTTGTAGTTCTACAGTTACAGACTGTAGTCCATCTGTTTCTCTGATACTTTGTTAGCCCCCTTTTACCCTGTTCTTCAGTGGTCAGGACCCCCATGGACCCTCACAGAGCAGGTGCTATTTGGGTGGTGGATCATTCTCAGCACTGCAGTAACACTGATGAGGTGGTGGTCTGTTAGTGTGTGTTGCACTGGTCTGAGTGGATCAGACACAGCAGTGCTGCTGGAGTTTGTAAGAATACTCTGTCCACTCACTGTCCACTCTATTAGACGCACCTGCGTTGTTGGTCCACCCTGTAGATGTAAAGTCAGAGACGATAGCTCATCCCTTGCTGTCTGTTACAGTCTGTAACTGTAGAATAACAAAGTGCACCTATGTAGTAAGTGAAGCTGATAAAATGGACAGTGAGTTTAGAAACAAGTTTTCCAAGGGTTCCAAAGTCAACAGGTCTCATTCTCCAGCATCTTCCTTAGTTTTGTCTTAGAGTGTGTTCTTGAGAAAGGTCCTAAGAAAAAGTCTCCGTCAGATTCATGACGTGTTCTTAAAGCGCAGAACTGTTCTCACCTTTGTGCTCTTGAGTGTGTGTAGATTCTGTTCTTAGCTAAGAACAAACCCCACATAAGAGCACATCGGTGAATATCTTCATGAAAACTGCACAAGCGTGTTTTAAGAAGAAAAGAAAAGGCTGGGACACTGTGGAACATGTAAAAACAGAACGCAGTGGTATGAAAATATTTAAACCCATTATGTTGTTTTTTAAATAATATATATCCATTTTAATTTGATGCCATGAACACTCAAAGAACCATTTGCATGCTTAAATGGTTCTCTGCATGGTGAAATGATTCTTCAGAGTGATGGAGAACGTGTTGTGGATGATTCTTGGTTCTGTACAGCACCAAAAAGGGTTCCTCTATTGTTATAATGTCAAATACATACAGAATGCCGCTGCGAGGATCCTCAGCTATTCTAGTGAAGACATTTTATGTTGTCCATTTTTTGCACTATTGTCTTATTCGGTCTGTGTGTTGCTTTGTTGTTGTTATCTTATCCCTTTCTTGTAATTACCTTTTCCCCAAGTGGCTTCTGCTGCTTGCCAGGCTGTCACTGTAAATACAAATACGTTCTTAATTACTTAAATTAAAGGTTAAATCAATAAATAAACAAACTGACCATATCACCCCATCCTTCTTCACTGGTCACCTGTTACGTTCCCTGTTCACGCTAAAGTCCTGCACAGCCACACTACTCAATACCTGGTTGAGCTTCTTCATCTATATGTTCCATCCTGTATCTTAACATCCCAGGCTTATTACATACTGAGGCTTATTATACAGCAGCTACAGGGACTTCAGTGCAAACTGGCTGAGCTGTTTACAGGCTATAGAAGTGTGTAATGAAACTCTGGGCCTGCTCTCAGGCCACGGCCATTTAATGGTTAAACTGGCCTCTTTGGGTGGCCGATCATTTGTTGTAGTGGCTCCTGAATTATAGAATACTCTCCCCAAGTCTATTCAGGGCTATTCTATTCTATTCTATAGGTCTATTCTATCCTCACTATCTTCACTTCTGTTAAAGACACCTGTCTTCACTATGTGATCAGTGTTCCTTGAACATGGGAAAGGCGCTATATAAATAAAAATGATGATGATGTGATGATAACACACACACACACACACACACACACACACACACATTATATAACATTATGACCACCTCCTTGTTTCTACGCTCATTATCCATTTGATCAGCTCCACTTACTATATAGGTGCACTTTGTAGTTCTACAGTTACAGACTGTAGTCCATCTGTTTCTCTGATACTTTGTTAGCCCCCTTTTACCCTGTTCTTCAGTGGTCAGGACCCCCATGGACCCTCACAGAGCAGGTACTATTTGGGTGGTGGATCATTCTCAGCACTGCAGTAACACTGACGTGGTGGTGTGTTAGTGTGTGTTGTGCTGGTACGAGTGGATCAGGCACAGCAGTGCTGCTGGAGTTTTTAAACACTGTCCACTCACTGCCCACTCTATTAGACCCTGCTATCTCATTGGTCCACCTTGTAGATGTAAAGTCAGAGACGATAGCTCATCTGCTGCTGCACAGTTTGTGTTGGTCATCCTCTAGTCCTTCACCAGTGGTCACAGGACGCTGCCCACAGGACGCTGTTGGCTGGATATTTTTGGTTGGTGGACTATTCTCAGTCCAGCAGTGACACTGAGGTGTTTAAAAACTCCAGCAGCACTGCTGTGTCTGATCCACTCAGACCAGCGCAACACACACTAACACACCACCACCACATCAGTGTTACTGCAGTGCTGAGAATGATCCACCACCCAAATAGTACCTGCTCTGTGAGGGTCCATGGGGGTCCTGACCACTGAAGAACAGGGTAAAAGGGGGCTAACAAAGTATCAGAGAAACAGATGGACTACAGTCTGTAACTGTAGAACTACAAAGTGCACCTATATAGTAAGTGGAGCTGATAAAATGGACAATGAGCGCAGAAACAAGGAGGTGGTCAGAATGTTATTCCTGATCATGTATATACATACATTTTATTTCAAAATTAGAAATTCTTCATGGTCAAATTTCATAAATTCAAACAGTAGAAACTCAAGTCTTCAATTTTTCATCAGTTCATTTTACAGAAAGACTTTTTTTTCATTTCAACTCATCTTCATTCTGAAGTTTAAGTCTGAAATGTTACACACGTTTCTGTTATTTTAGCCAAGGTGGCATTTTGTGTTCGAATTCACCACTAAATCTGCAGTCATTTGTTACAACATTCAACAATCCACTTTTACCTGGTCTTTTATTGTCAGCACCTCAAACAACAAAAGATCATGGGATGTCGATATCAGCCAATATAATGACTGACGTCACTCCCTTTATCAATTATCAACAGAACATGATTATAATGGGGAAGCAATGAATTAAAGCAACTTACAGCTTTCCATCCAGCTTCAGCACGAAGCCCTGCTGATCGTACACTGCGGAGAAAACGGAGAAATGAATGAGATTCAGGCCATCGAGCAGATCACAGGACAAAGAGGAGAACACCAGACCTGTTTCCATATTAACATTCAGTTTGAACTAAACAAAAAATGAAATTAACACTGTTATCGTCAGCTGCGTCGTAGCGATAAGCCTGCAGTTTTGGCGGAAAGTGCAGGTTAGTTTTTTTTGCAAGTGAGCAAGCATTGTTAGATTAGGCCAGCCAAAACATTCCCAAACATCCAAACTGAAACAAACACTGAAAAAGCAGCTGTCGACTTGGGGGCAACTTCAGACCGCAGATGCTCATGAAGCTACATGCTTGGAGAAGGAAAAAAAAACAGGAAAATAAGTAATGAGCAATGAGGTTAACTGAACCAAACGCCTTTTCTCTACTCGAACACAAACCCGAAGACTAATAACAAACCATATCGCCTGCAAAAACCAGCACTAAACAGTTAAATCAACTAAATAAACTGATGCAATCAAGCATTCTTACTGTTATGCTATTCCCAAAGCATCACAGATCAAATCTGATTGTGTTAAACTTTAGATTTCATCTACAAAAAGCAATTTAAAAACACAGGTTTGCTTTAAAATTATGAACATGTGCAACAAAGACTGAAATGGGAGCAGGTCTATAAAACAAACGGGAAAACTGCATAAACAGCAATACAAATGAAAATATTTCAGCATGTACAGAACTGCGCAGAAGTCAGAGAGTACCTGTTCTTTTATTCAGTTTCCAGTCAAGTTATTACTTTTATAGTGTCAAGAAAAAGAAAGCAAAAGCCTCATTTAGTGCGTCCACTCTTTACCTTCATTCCAGCTTCCGTTCTTTTCAGGAGACTCACTTTCAGCTCCTCAAAGAATCTGCAGACACGCCTCCAAAGTTCAGTCTTAGAAGCTGGTTGATCATTTTCTTAAGTAATCAAACACATTCAGTGGTGTTGAGGTCTGGACTCTGGGGTGGTCAGTCCATTGTTCAGCTTCTTTGTTTGATGTGTTCGTCTCCTTTTCTCAGTGAGGTTCTTCTGGACAGCTACACATCCTTTCAGACCCACAGCGCTGAGTCGTCTTCTCACAGTGGAAGGATGGACAGAAACACCTGTGGATGTTTTCAGATCTGAAGCAGCTTGATTTTCTCCTCTCTCTCAGAGATGAAAGCTTTAAGTGCTGTTTATCTGATGGGGGCAGTTTTGGGGTCGACCAGGTCTTCCAGGTGGTTGTTAGGAGCCACATTTTCTCTGTAGCTTTTTTTTGGAGTTTTGGAAACTGTTGCCTTTCTCTGCCCGTATGAAAGTACATCTAATCTCTCGAGAACGATGAACGGAAACTTCTGCCTGGTGGTCTCTGACTTTTCTACATATATATTAGAGATGGCACAATATGACTTTTACTTTTCCAACACAAATACTGAATCATTAAGTATTGGCTGATACTGATAACAACGTTGCATCTCTTTAAACACTACATAGCTTTAAAATGGGCTATTTGTAACATTCCAACAACGTGACTCACACAAAACTGTAGATTTGTAATAAATAAACAACTAAATGAATCTGCATGTATGCAAAATTACATAATTTGAAATAAAATAACTGTAACTCTACCTAGTTTTGCTAGCTACATGTCATCCTTGGGTTATCATTAAGCTACATCTGGTCATTCTTGTCACTTTATGCTTTCAGCTCAGATTCAGTTCAGATCCTCCTACATCTGATTCGGCATACTGTGCTGGTATGGGCCAGATACTAATACAGTATATCTGCCATCTCGAATATACTTCGTTCAATACTGCATTATGCCCACATAGTTCGTTACCAGCTCGCTCCACAAACCCTTTAGGCACTTTGAATTGGGGAGGAAAGCAGGAGGGAATTAAAAAGAAGCTAAGCTTTAACAGGACAGTGTTAAATTTCCACAGAGGCATCTCTGAGGATGGAGAGAGAAGAGCTGCAGAGTAGAGAGAGTCCAGAGATGACCTGGTGCTGCTCAGCAGGACAAACAGGGGAAGCGATGCAGTGTAGCAGCAACTGAAGCGCAGAGCAGAGGAGTTACATAACTGATAGAACTGGAACTGGAACATCTACTGATGTGTATATTTAACCTGGTTGTGGGAGCTACAGTCTTAAAGTTCAGCCCTTAAAGGCTGAAAGACTTAATCAGTTATGTGAAGACATTATTATTATTATTATTATTATTATTATTATTATTATTATCATCATTATCATCATCATCATCTCAGAAATGGTAACCTTGTAGGTTTATGTATATGTACTGCAAAATGTATAAATTTAATTATTGTAATTACGAACTATTTCCATTTGTCTATCAGCCATAAAACATAATGCACATACATTGATAACTACTGATACATTTCTATGTAAGGTTTATAGCTGAGAGGCTTATGTTGCATTTACAATGTAAAAGCAGACACACAATGGAAAACTTAATATTCCATGTTTTTCAATGAAGCAGTGTTGGTAAATTCTGCCAAGTCTTCGTACCATACAGGTCAGCGGAATGTTTAGTCAGGTGGTAGTGGTCAATATACCGGTTTATCTGGTATACCGGTTGAAATTCCTTGTCAGGTATGAGTTTAGTCATTACCGTTACACCAGTATGCCACAAATAAGTGCAGGTAACATGATGTACAAGCAGTGAAAACTAGGCCAATGTTCCCCCATTTGGCTGAATGGTTGAGTCAGGAACATTTCAAATGAAATTGAACACGCAGGAGACCCCCGATCACCCCCCACCGTCTATTCTGTCTCATCAGGAGTAGTCTGTTTTTTCGAGGCAGCATACTTAAAGGAATGGCCGGTGCTTTGGGGTTAGCCTTAGCCAAACATTGAGGCACTGCCTAAAAGGAGGCACCAGTGGCGCCTGACGGTCGGAGGACGACTATAAGGGGTGCACGTATAAAACAAATGATTTAAGAAATTCAACAAAGCTGAAGTTGGCTTTTTATTCAAATTCCCCATTCCACCTTAAATGGCATGGCAGTTACATTCAGGTGCAGGTACCAGAATACAACCGCTGCTCCATTTAAGGTGGAACGGAAAATTCAAACAAAAAAACGAACTAACTTGAGCTTATTGAAATTAAAACGTGCAACAACATTGTTAGAAGGCAATATTTACACAGGCTAATCTAAATGTTGTTTAGATCTGTTTTCATTTTTGCACAATAAAAATATTTCAGATTTACTTTGGTTGTTTAAAATGCTTCTTATTGAAAAACCGAAGGGATATACCAGAATAATGAGCCACTGTTATTCTTACTGTAGTCTCTAATATGTTTAATCTGGAAATATATATGCATACACCATTATACATGCAGACATATATTTTTAATCTTTTATTTTTCTTTTGTAATATAATTTAAATTAATTACACCATGACATACATTTTTCACCATACTGCCCACGACTACTGTTATGAGTTTAATTTTCCCAACCCAAATTAAACCAGATGTTGATGTTTTTTCAGCGTAGACAGCCCAGTCATCACTATGGCAACCTTTACATGGCCGCAGCCCATCACCAGTCACGCACCGTCGCTGTTTTACACCAAGTAAGGGGTTAGTTTAATTTTGAATGGTAATCATTTGCTGTCTTTTGACAATTTAAGTTTTTTTCCCAGTGTAGTTTAGGAACAGTACTGTTTTGCACATTAGAATAATAATGTATAAAGTATAGTATATTAAAAACATGTATGGAAAACTGAAATGAATGAAATAAATAGCTATACTGTATTGATTTATATTACTATACTACTGTAACATTGCCTAAACCAGGTCTGTGTCTTTAGTGAGAGGGAATGTACAGCAGAGGCGTTAAAGAGCAGAGCCTTTTCAGCTTGTGGTTTGGGAAATTGATAGAAAGTGAAAAGTGCTGTAAGGAGGAGGCAGCGTGACCCTGTGACGTCTGAGTGTCTGGCTAAGCTCTTCTACAGAGGTTTATGTTTAATTTCTGAAATTATAATTATGAAAAGCTGAGAAACATTAAACTATTTGCTGACAAAATGCAAACTTCAGCATTATGTAACAACTCCACACGGCTTGAAGCTAGTTTGTGATGGTTTAGGCATGCAGTAGCTACAGTACTGTGCAAAAGTCAGAGACCATCCTTCATCCTTCAGACCAGACATTAAGTTATTCATTTTTCAATGTCAGGAAAAAAGCAGAAAATATGTTTAACAGAAAATTATACTCAACAATAAATATATCAGGTGCTCGAGTGGTCAGTTAGTCACACTTTACCTTTATTCCAGCTTCCATTCTTTTCAGGAGACTCACTTTCAGCTCCTCAAAGAATCTGCAGACACACCTCCAAAGTTCAGTCTTAGAAGCTGGTTGATCATTTTCTGAAGTAATCAAACACATTCAGTGGTGTTGAGGTCTGGACTCTGGGGTGGTCAGTCCATCGTTCAGCTTCTTTGTTTGATGTGTCCGTCTCCTTTTCTCAGTGAGGTTCTTCTTGATCAGCTACACATCCTTTCAGACCCACAGCGCTGAGTCGTCTTCTCACAGTGGAAGGATGGACAGAAACACCTGTGGATGTTTTCAGATCTGAAGCAGCTTGATTTTCTCCTCTCTCTCAGAGATGAAAGCTTTAAGTGCTGTTTATCTGATGGGGGCGGTTTTGGGGTTGACCAGCTCTTCCAGGTGGTTGTTAGGAGCCCCATTTTCTCTGTAGCTTTTAAATGCCAGTTTTGGAAACTCGCTTTGGCTTTCTCCCTCCTTACGAAACATCAGAAGAACCTGTCTTCATTTTGACTGGAAATGAGCTAAATGAAAGGTAGTCTCTGATCTTTACACAGTAATGTACACTGGCCGCGTAGCTCCAGCGCAAAAGTAAAGAAACAACTGGAAAATGCCGTAAATTACATTTTTCTCTGAACTGTTTCTTCAATAGTAAGATGTATTTAAAATGACCAGCACCCAACCTGAGCCTACTACTTGTCCCTCGGAGACAACGGCCTCTGGCTCCGGCTCTGAAAGACAAAACCAGTCACTTACACCCAGCAGCCGGCTACTGTAGCAGAGCAACATGGGAAATACTCCGCTGCCCTGAATCATACCAATCCCTCCCTCACAGTGATAAAGCAGCGCTTATGAAATGATTAGCATCAGTACAGTTCTGCTCCATGTGTCCCTGCATTAGCCAGAATTAGTCAAATCGGTTTAAAGGGCAGAGGAGAGTGAGGTTTAGTTAGGCGGTGTTAGTAGAAACCAGATTGACGCTAGCAGCATTTATCAGCAAGGAGTTATAACAATTAATGCTACACATCGGCCCACCATCATCAGAATGGAAGGTTTAGTACAGAACAGTGGTGTTTCTACCTGTCGTCACTTTAGGTTTAGGTTTAGCTTTTGTAACTGTTAGAGAAACAGTCGGCTCCACATCTACATCTGTGAAACAAAAGGGTTACAACATCAGTGCAATCAGAAATACTCAGTGCAAACCCACCAGCAATCTAAACAAACTGATGTGATGCTACATATAATTTCCAATAAAAAGGCAAACGGCCTGAACAATCCGTCCAAAAGCACAATGAAAAGGGTAACACAGTGAATCAGAGCTGGGACCACCTATCAGTTTAGCAATAATGTCACAAAATAGATGACGGACATGTATCTTCTTTTGTTGGTCATTTTTAAGGCTGGGTCAATAATCAATTTTGAATATTTTTTGACACGGATATATTCGTTATTTAAACCAGAGATATTTTATAGCAACACACAGTATATCCAGAACGTTCGTCCATTTGCGCCAAAGGGGGCGACAAACCTGTGTAAGAGTTTTACAGACAAAAAATGTGCTCTGTAATGTCTTCCGGGTTTCTCAAACACTAGAGGGCGCTGCTGAGCGAGTCCAAAACGAATGGGTTAAGATTGAGCATTTGAGTAAAATCATAGTTTATAAATGAATAAACATTTTTAATATAAAGTAATACAGTAATTTACTGAACACAGAACCGCATAAAACATTTCAACACCGCTGTTATATTTTTAAGAGCTTTTAAACTCGAGGCGCCTCATATACGTCAATGAAGTCAGTGAGCGCAAACAGCCAATGAGCTGCTCCGCTCACCAACCAATCAGCACTCAGTAGCAGTAATGTAAGCGTCCTGCTGCCCAAAACTCATTTGCAGTAGAAAAAAAGAGACTTACAGTTTAGAGCTTTCTTTGCTTTTTTAGTGAAATCCATCCTTTTACTTTCTAAAATTAAAAGAAAGTTCTGGTCGAGTGATCAGAAACTATTTTAGCTCCATTCTCTGCCCTCTGGCATTTTGCAGTCATGTTTTTGATATAATGGGGGAAAACGGCTCTTCATAAACAGGCTCTGGTGTCAGCTAATGTCTGAGCTGCTGCTGAACATACATTATGTGGCTAAAAGTATGTGGACACCCCTACTATTGTGTTCAGGTGTGTCAGCCACACCCGTTGCTAACAGGTGTATAAAATTAAGCTCACAGCCTTGCAGTCTCCACAGACAAACACTGGCAGTAGAGGGTCGAACTGAAGAGCTCATGGACTTCCAACGTGGCTCTGTCATAGGATGGCACCTCAGACACAAGTCAGTTTGTGACATGTCTGTCCTGCTAGAGCTCCCCCTGTCAACTGTAAGTGCTATTATAGTTAAATGGAAGCGTCTAAGAGCAACGACGGCTCAGCCACGAAGCGGCGGACCACGCAAACTCACACAGTGGCGCCGCAGAGTGCTCAAGTGTGTAATGCATAAAATCCGCCAAACTGCCTCTGGAAGCAACATCAGCACAAGAACTGCCCGTCAGCAGCTTCATGAAATGAGTTTGAGCTGCACACAAGCCTAAGATCATTATGTGCAGCGCCAGGAGATCAGCTGGAGATCATATCCTCCATGTGAAAAGACCTCACAACAAATAAACACTAAACTATAAAGGGACGCACAGAGTGACTCCCTGCTTCGGATGGAAATGAGCGCATTTACACGCACTTATCTGATCATAATCAGATTTCCGCAGTTATCTGATTACTCAAATGGTCATGTAAACAGCTCACTCTTTCTTAGATAAGAGTATGGTCTAGAAATCTGATTACGAAATCTGATGAAGAGGCTGGATTTTACCTCAGTAATCAGATTTCTGAGTGTGAACTCTTACTCTGATTTCTTTCGGATTTCTCAGTCTGAGCATGTGCGAAACAGACGGCGGTACCGGAAATAAGCGAGCAGCGTTGCTGACGCTGAAACCAAATACATGCTTGATGAAATTACGGATTTGAATATTCTTCATCTTCTAGACGATGTTTGTTCATATTTTCAGGTAAAGTGGCGATTTAAAAGCCGCAGCATGAAGTTTGAGTTTTACGTTTATGTTGCGTCTTCTGTGAGTTTATTGGCTGGTCGCAAAGAAAAATCTGATAACTGTCTGACTCATGTAGACCTGAAGTTTCCCCATTATCTGATCACTCAAGTGCACGTAAATGTGCTGATCAGATTACTGACAAAATCTGATTCTTTGCGGTTGTCGGAATATTAAGCACATGTAAACAGACTACATTAAGAAAAACCAAGACTGGAGTCTCGGATCACGGATCGGAGTGCACTCACAAAACGGAAAAGATAAAAAAGAAAAATTCTACTCATTGATTATTGATCAGTAAATTGACTAGTGGTGCCAATAATTTCAGTTGTACTTTTCCTCATTGTGATTCAGGCTTTGGCGCCCCCTCTGGCACAAACGGGAACTGTCAAGACATACTGTATATCAGACTGTACAACCCCTGTGGATTTAAATAATAAATATATGAATATTTTCTAACAATTTTCTCCTGATTTATCAACTTTCAAAACCAAAATGACTTAATTTCCCAGCCCTATTGGATTCAAAGGAAATTCAAATGTGTGCAGAGCTTCCACCTGAACACGCAACATGAAAATAATTTCGGCTTTAAGTTTACTTACTTTCGGTCTTAACTGTGTTGATGCGATATGCGCTCAAGTGAATTCAATGCATTACTCCTGTCAGTGCGCTGACTGGACCTCATTTTCCAAAATAAACACAGTTAAGTCCTCTATACTGCTTAGATATAATAAACACGTACACAGTGGTGCACACACGAATCCTGCCACATTGGAGATGAAAGTGCCCGTGCTGACTGAGATGACCCTCTGTCAACATGCCGAAATCTTTCAAGGCATATCCTCCGCAGTCATGCCAAGCACATTACTGCGTTTTTGCCCTCTCTTTGTTATTTATCATCACAGGAGGGCTGTGCTTCCTTCCCACTTACCCTTTCAAAGCCATTCATTGTGATTCATCTTTACAATTTGACCAAAAGAGCTTGCATAACAGGAGCCAGGTTCAAAGAAACCCTTCCCAGGTTCATGTGATTTTCCAAAATAAACTGGGAACAGCTGTTGAATAGTACTGTTTATAATTAATCTACTCGCATTTTTTCCACAGAAGTTCAGGACGATGAAGTTGGGAAATGAAAACATGAACGGAATCGCTGACAAGCGCTAAATACCAAGCCATCCATCACGTCCCAAACTATTTTCCTAACCCAGACTTGAGAATTCAAACTTTATCAATGAGCAAGAAGCACAACATCTATGTCGAAAACAGGTTGTACCTGCAGCCTGACGCTGTGGTTAAACCTCCAACTGAGAAGTTCTAAATTTACTTTGAGCGGAAATTTGATTTCTTATCCGGTTTAATATCAGTGCGCATGTATGCGGCACACGCGCAACAAACATCTCCGTCTAAAATGCGTCTAAACAGGAACATACTGATGGTTTTAGGTCAGTATGTTTATTTGAATAAACTGAGTTTGCATTACATAAAAGGTCAAAAACAGAACACTGACCTAAACATTTTCACGATACACAATATATATTGCAATACTTCGTTTTTCTGAGGGTGGCTGCGTTCTTAAAAATGATGGTTCTTCAAGGGTTCTTTAAAGAAAACGGTTCCATATAGAACAATGCCCACCCAAAGAACCCTTCGCATGATTAAAGGGTTTTTGCATCATAAAAGCATTTTGTCAGATAGATCGAGAATGTGCTGTAGATGCTTCGATATAGAACCTTTTGGGGTTTTGGGTTCTATATAGAACCAAAAAGAGTTCTTCTATTATTACAACGTGAAGTAGCAATAGAAGAACCCATTTTGCTCCTATACAGAACCCTTTTCAAAAACCTTCCCTATAGAACCGTATACATTCCTAAAAAAGATCCTTCTTCAAGGGTTATTCAGTTAAGAAAATGGTTCTACACAGAACCATGGACACTCAAAGAACCCTTTGCAAGGTCAAAGGGTTCTTTGCATCATAAAAGGGATCTTCAGATTGGTGGAGAACGTGCTGTAAATGCTTCTATATAGAAACTTTTGGGGTTCTCGGGTTCTATAAAGCACCAAAAATGGTTCTTTTATTATTACGATGTCAAGTTTGCAGCAATAGAAGAACACTTTTTGGTGCTATATAGAACCCTTTTCAAAAACCCTCTTTATAGAACCATATACATTCTAAAATGAAGGTTCTTCAAGGGTTTTTTTAAGTAAAGAAAATGGTTCTATATACCGCCATGGTGACTCAAAGAAGCCTTTACATGATCAAAGGGTTCTTTGCATCATGAAAGCGTTCGTCAGACTGATGTAGATGGTTCTACATAGAACCTTTTTGAAAAAATGTTCTATATAGCACCAAAAAGGGTTTTTCTATTATTACGATGTCAAGTTTGTAACAACAGAATTTTGGTGCTATAGAGAACCCTTATACTAATGCTGTTTGCTAACCGGTGTCGACGGGTTCCCCTTCTGAGTCTTGGTTCCTCTCAAGGTTTCTTCCTCTTTTGAACACTGAAATCACTATTTATGTATTCGTTATGCTGCTGAACGGAAAGTCAGGGACAAAAGTCTTCAACGATACAAATATAAAAACAGTCCAATTATAAATAACCTCGTAACTTAAAAAGAAAACTTAAAACTTGAATGACATGAATCCTCACAGTGCTGTAAAATACACAGCTGGGTCATTCTGCAGAAACGTCCACTTTTCCTATCTGTCCATAGGAGTCACTGGTGTTACTGACCCTCATTGGTGTTCCACATAATAAAGGAACACCAGAGACATTTTTAATGAATAATGCATTTTACAAAATAACAGCTACAGAGCATCAAACCACATGTCGTCAGTCATGGAATATCCAATAAAATATGGAATTTAATCCATTTGTATTCTATTTTTTCACAATGACCTCAGAATAAAGTCGGTCACACCAGTGACTTCAGCTAAAAGCTTCATATGAAATCATGAGCTAAATGAGAAAACCTCTGATAACTGAAAGACACAGTGGACTCACCATGAGCTTTTCTTCATAGATCCTCAGAAAACAGGTAAAAGGAAGTCAAGTGATGTCATCA